CGAGTGGTTTTAATAGAGGAGCTATTTTTAACAGCCTTGTTTCTCCTTTGTAATAAAGAGTATAACACATCACACTTATTTTTAATGCAGAGGGAAGTACACCAAAATAAAAAATACATTTACATCTTTAGAAACTGCCCCAAAAACACAACGATGCATTACTTTTTCCATTTCTACTGAATGACCCTGAATCCCTTGAGAGCCCTCGTGAACAATACTGCTGTCAGATCCTTGTGTCCACACATATACACTACAGCCTGCCTACTCCCTGTCCCACCACTTCCTCCACAGCTCTCACACTTGTGCAGATCTTTCACTCACATCAGATATTCAATGTCTCACCATCACATGAAGATCACGCTTGAGTTTTTGATTTTAAACAAGGAAACAGCAGCATCAGAATTGAATATCAGTGGATATTAAATACATCATTCTTTAACTTCTTTGCTGCTTTTTTTGGTTTGTTTTTTGTTTAAGAAAAACTTTTTGGAGATACTTTTGGCCACATTACAGCTGCATGTAGACTATAGCAGCTTGGGAGCAATGTCTTCTCTACTTTCTCACAACAAAGATCAGCCACACATTAGAAAGTCGCTCTCTGACTCCTCTCCAACTTCATCCTCTGCCACTACCAAGAGCCTGAGGGTAAGGTCTAATTGTCTTTAATCTTTTCAGCGTCTGCTTAGTTAGAGGAAATGCCATGGCTGACATAATCCAAACACTAACAATAAAGTTCAAACAAATGTCTGTAACAAGCCACAGAGGTATTCCTGAGTGTTTGTTTACTTTGTCATAGAATATTTGGATGTACCATAAATGATGAATGGAGAATTATGTGTAGCCATAAATTATCTCGTACTGCTTCACTTGAATGAATTTAACTTTTACACATTACAGCTGTTGTAATTCAACTAAAGATTTGTTTTCAGTATTTGCAACATCTTCCTTTATAGTCTACTGCAGTCATGAGGATGTTTCTTAATAGATTGTGTAATCACTGACTCTTCAAGTGTTGCTGTAAAGCTGTAAATGTTATTTAATGCATTTATTTTGGTTCTTTAAATGACAATCTTTACAGATGGTGTCAGTGTATTATTTACCAAATCACACACTATAAATGCTTATTCGAAAAAAAATCTGAATATTTTTACAACTTTATTACACACTTATTATATGTGTGTGTAATTATATTATGATTTTTTTTTTTTTATCTTATTTTTTAGGAATTTGCCTTTATTCCTACTACTGTTCCAGGGACATTGTGATTACGTAATGATACGCATCATGGAGCCCTAGGCCACCATGACATCCCAGATAATAAATGTTTTTTATCTCTCAACACTTTGAAATGCTTCTAAAGGCTTGTAATAACTCACATAAACTGTGAAAAAGAAAATTGCATGTGCTTGAGCACGGAGGAAGTGAAACTTGTAAGTGAAACTGAGGCGAAGTTGTAATGAACAGTTAGTCATATCTGTTTATGTAAACTAAGAATCCACTTGGGAAGGATAAATGGAGAGACACAGAGAGAGGGATACAGGAAGAGAGTACAAGGAGAGAGAGAAAGAAAACGGAGTGAAAGACAGGATGGCAGGGAACAGAGAGAAGGAGGGATAGAGTGCTTAGGACTGGCCTGTGGGAACTCAGACACAGTATTTATGGATGTTTATCTCTCTGCTAGTCCTACGGGAAGCTTACATTTTCCACTTGGGAATAGCTGGTCAGCAGGCAAGAAGTTCCTCATGGGATCTAGAAAGGCTTGAGGACAGCTTAGTGACAGAGACGCTCACATACTGTACATGGGATAAAATATCACAAAATCCTATGTTTCCATCAGCATCTGTTTATATGTGATGTCGCTTAATCTAAACCAGAGCTTTTTCCAAGTCTGCTCGCTGTATATCATTAATGACCGTTTACCAAGCATATCCAAGTGTCCAGAGACAGCCTTAAAGGAGCTGACATCAGAGTCTGGTGAGGATCCAGAGATCTTGTAAATGTCTGAGCAGAGGCATATCTCTGTGTTTACACATAGTGTCTGTAACTTAAATCCCTGTTTCTTCTTAACAGAAATCCATTCACCATCTCCATGATTTAGTTAGACGTGTGACTGTTTAAGCAGTGGTCACCAGTCTGCTTTTTGCACTAGTTTATGTGACTGTCACAATAAGTCTGAAAGAATAAAGTACAATGCAGTATGGAACTCCATGAACTGTCAAAGAAGTTATGGCAGCAGGAATAAGTGATCCTGTGCATCTATATTTCTCTGATATATGCAGAAGTTATTTCTACAGGCAAAATAATTACCACTATAATACGAATTGATTGTTAGCATTACTGAATGTTAAAGAGTGAGTCATTTAGCTTTTCCTATGATTAATATGACGAATTAGCATTTAAGGATTGAGAGGATGGGTTCAGCAGGTTCAGAAGAGATATATGGATTTAATGGCAACTCTACTGAGTTATATTTTGTCTTAATGCCATTTTATCATTTTTATGTAAAGCACTTTGAATTTCAGTGTGGTTGAAAAGTGCCATAGAAGAGTCTACAGTAATGTTAGCAACTCTGTGAGACTGCACTAAGGCACACTGATGCTTTGAGCTAAATGCTAACAACAGCATGCTATCATTGACAATGCTAACAACACCATGCTAACATGCTAATGCTAAGTAGGTGCTAAACAAAAAAAGTATAGCTAAAAGTCATTATTTTTGCAGGTATTTGGTCTCAAGTATTGGACAAAATAAAAATGATCGTGCTAGATAAAGTTAGGGGATCACCAAAGATATTACAATTCGTCCTGAAGGGGAATAAGAATGTCTCAATACATTTTACTCAAAACCACAAATGTGAACCTGAACATTAGCCATTAGGATTCATTGTCTGGGGATCGTGGATGTCTGTATAAAATGTCATGGCAATCCAATAGACCTTTTTGACAGCAGCCATTTTAACTTATTGTATTTCACTCATTTACATATGGAGAAAATGAGAAAGGGTTGTCTTGAAATGTCAGTTGTTTTTTGCACTGTGAAAGAGAAACGAATGCGACTGTCTTACCCCTTCTATTTAACACATGAAGTAAATGTGTAGTGTCTCATGCAATGTTATTTTGGCACAAGTGCACATGCTGTACATGTGTGGATACATATGATTCACTGGTACATACTGTTTCTTGTCATGAAGCTCTTTTGTAAAGGTTAAAGTACTATTTTCTGCCAGCAGTGGTGCCTCATTACTACCATAGTGATAAAGATAATCAACAAATGTTGAGAGAAGAACCAACCAACTTTCTTTCTAAAGTGGGGAACTGTAAGTGTCCATTACCCTCTGTAACATACTGTCTGAACTGATACAGATTAAAAAGCAACAGCAACACTGTCTTAATGAAATGACTACTCTTGCATTGCCATAAAGGTAAGATGTGCTATAAACACTGAATAAAACCCTCTAGTCTAGTGTGGCAACTTGATTTAGGCAGAACAAAAAGGTGGACCTTGATATCCAGGAAACAACCTGTTTTAGGATTCAAAGAGGCAAAAATCTAATCGGAAGGTTTACCCATTTGAATGTTAAACTCTTCATGTTATATCTTAAAATGCTGAAGTGCTTAAATTTGACTAGGTAGTAGTGTATTTAGCTCAAAATATGGGCAAAACAGAAAGTCAAACAAGATAATATTAAAAAATCCCCTCCATTCACAATATACCTCGTATTTAATTGTGTGATTAAATCGTGTCAGCTTGCAGGGTGATGTTTGCTGTGACAGCCGACACTGACTGGAATCAGATTAGAAGTAAACTGAGATGAATTGAGATGTATTTTTTGTAACTTATTATAAATCTGATTATATTTTGTTGTGAAAAACTTTTCAGCTTCAGCGATATTTGCCATGAATACATTTGTCCCATTCCATAAGCATTTACAACATTTGAGTTAGACACAGACAGCAGGCCCTTTATATTTCCTTTTTTAGGAGAATAAAATGACCTGTGCTAATGAATGGCAAAACTGTGTCATGAAACTTGCTTAGAAAGGTATATAAGCCTGTTCTAACGTCAACAACGCAACCCTCCAGTCTGATTGTAAATCCAAGACAACAAATTTACCTGTGAGCACAGTATATTTTGTGCATCTGAGCAATCTGTTGGGGTTTTTTTAAATTACATTTTTATTTTCACCCTAACACACACCCATGTGTACTTGTCCATCTACTGCCTGTATTTTAAATGTTAGGTCCACTTCCAGATGTGCTTTTCTACGGTGGTTTTAATAGAGGAGCTATTTTTAACAGCCTTGTTTCTCCTTTAGTAATAAAAGTAGTATTAAACATCACACTTATTTTTAATGCAGAGGAAGTACACAAAATAAAAAATACATTTTACATCTTAAGAAACTTCCCAAAAACAGCAACGATGCATTACTTTTTCCATTTCTACTGAATGGAACCCTGAATCCCGTTGGGAGCCTCCGTGAACCCCCAATGACTGATGTCAGATCCTCTGTGTCCAAACATATACACTACAAGCCTTGCCTACTCCCTGTCCCACCATTCCTCCACAGCTCTCAACACTTGTGCAGATCTTTCACTCACATCATGATATTCAATGTCTCACCATCACATGAAGATCACGCCTTGATTTTTGATTTTATTAAACAAGGAACACGCAGCATCAGAATGAATATCAGTGGATTATAAATACATCTTCTTTAACTTCTTCTGCTGCTTTTTTGGTTTGTTTTTGTTAAGAAAAACTTTTTGGAGATACTTTTGGCCACATTACAGCTGCATTGTAGACTATAGCAGTTGGGGAGCAATTCTTCTTTCTACTTTCTCACAACAAAGATTTCAGCCACACATAGCGGGAAAAAATGAAACGAAAAAAAATGTCGCTCTCTGGAACTCCTCTCCAACTTCATCCTCTGCCACTACCAAGAGCCTGGAGGGTAATGGTCTAATTGTCTTTAATCTTTTCAGCGTCTCTTAGTTAGAGACAAATGCCATGGCTGACATAATCCAAACACTAACAATAAAAGTTCAAAAACAAATGTCTGTAACAAGCCACAGAGGGTATCTGGGAGTGTTTTTTGTTGTTGGCGATGATTGTAATGGCCTCCCTTGTCCAATCCTCAGTGCGTACTATTCTCCATCACCTTGGATGAATTTCTTCGTCAGTCATGTTTTGCCATTTTGTGCATTACTCCATCAGACGTTGCTAGCACCCTTGTGCTGTCGGACACCAAGGAGTGCCTTGATGTTGCTCCAGGCAGGTGGGTGACACAGGGCAGCTTGGGGGAACCACCAGAGCAGTGGTGTGAAGAGAGATGAGAAGAAAGGGTCCAGGACTTTTTGACCATGAATACCAGGGGGTGTAGCAGTTTCAGTCATCTGGGGTAATTCCATGCAGGAGTGTATGTGCAAACATATCTCTTGAGAGGCAGCAAGGTGATAATGGAAGTGGGAATGGAGTTAGGTTGCAAGGTGGGACGATATACGCAGCGAGTAAAGAAGACGAAGAAGTTCATGAGAACTGTTGTCGTGTTATTACGTTTTCTTCTGATCTTGGAGGGCCAAATTACTTGTACCATCATTTCAAACATCCCGTTTATATTGGTTCATAGAAAATATTTGGATGTACCTGATTAATATCGCATGAAAATGGGAGGCCCAAATATTACAATATTGGTGTAGCCATAAATTATTCTAATCAGGTAGCTGTCGTGGTTGTCACATGGATATGAAATTTAACTGATTTACGAGATGATGTACAGCTGTTGTAAATTTCAACTAAGAGTAGTGCTTTCAGGTACCTTTGCAACATCTTCATTTAGTAGTCTGACTGTCTAGTCATTTGAAGGATGTGTAGCCCTAATAGAGTTGTGTAAGTCACTCTGACTTTCTCAAGTGATTGCATTGTAGAAGCGTGTAGATGGTTTATTTAATGCACTTTTAAATTCTATTGTTCTTTAATTGACGAATCTGTTACATGATGGGTGTCAGTTATTATTTACCAAATCACACACTATAAATTGCTTTATTCGGGGAATAGAAAAAGTCGTGAATATTATTGTACAACCTTTATTACACACGACTCCTTGATATATGTGTGTAGTAACTTCTGGAATGATATTATGATTTTTCTCTTTTTTTATCATTATGTTTTTAGGAATTTTGGTTCCTGGCTTAGCTGCTACTGTTCCAGGGACATTGTGGATTACGTTACATGATAGCGTATCTATTGGCGCTCCTGGTGTAGGGCCAAACAATCAACAACCCAGGATAAGTAAATGTCTTTTATCTCTCATACTACGTTTTGAAAGCTATCTGTAAAGGCTTGTCCAATGTATCTACACATAACTGGTGAAAAAGAAAATATGCACATGTCTTTGAGCACGGAGGAGTGAAACTGTAAGTGATAAACTGAGGCGAATGTTGTATTATGAATCATTTAGGTTCATATTCTTTTCTTATATGTTAATCAAACTAAGATCCACCTTTTGGAAGGGATGAAATTGAGAGAACATCGACGACGACGACGATACAGGATAGAGATTCTCTCACAGAGAGAGAGAGAAAGAGAAACGGAGGAAAGACCCAGAAGAGGAGGCAGGGGAACAGAGAGAAAGGGAGTGGAGATTTAGAGGGTCGTTAGATTCTGACTGTGGGATACAGACACATTTATTAGTTTATGGATGTACTATTCTTGCTAGTCCTACGGGAAGCTTTACATTTTCCCTTGGAGAATAGTCTAGGTCAGCAGGCGAAGACTTTCTACATGGTAATCTAAGGGAAAGGTTGAGGACACTTCTGTGGACAGAGACGCTCACACTGACATGGTGAAAATAAGTAGTTAACAAAATCCTATGTTTACCATCAGCAGCCGTTTCTATAGATGTGGAGATGGCGTGTTTATCTAAACCAGAGCTTTTCCAGTCTTGCTCGCTCTCTTATCGGATTAAAGTCATGGTGCCGTATTACCATGCCATTTGTCCAATGTCAGGAGAGAAGCATTAGAGAGACGCTGATCCGCATCAGAGCTGGGTGATGGGAATCAGGAATCGTGTCATAAGTGCCTGAGCAGCAGGCAGTATCTTCATGGTTATTACAGCAGCTGAAGTGCTGTAATTAATCCGCTGTTTCGATTAGCGGTTACAGAAATCCAAGTCATCCCGCAATCTCCATGGGATTGTAGTTAGATCGATGTGACTGTATATAAGCAGTGGTCACAGTCTTTCTTTTATGCACTAGTTAATATGTGACTCTACACCACATTAAGTCTGAAGAAATTAAAATACAATGCTTTACGTATGGAACTCCATGAACTGTCAAAGAATTTGATGCAGCAGGGAATATATTGAATCCTGTGGCACTGGTATTAGTGTATGTTCTCTGAAGTAGCTATAATGCGGAAATTATGTGTCTATATCAAGAATTCAAGATTACCTTAACATATAATACGAAGGTTGCATTGATTAAGCAGTTAACCGTGAGATGTTAAAGAGTGAGTCATTTAGCTTCTTCTTCAAGAGTTTTGAATATGACGACTTAGATTTAATGGACGCGCTTGAAGATGGATGGTTTTTTCAGTAGGGTCAGAACGGGATCGATATATGGATCTTATATGGCAACTCATACTGAGTATAATGATTTTTAGGTCTTAAATGCGATTTTATCATATGAGATTATTATGTACAAGCACTATGGAATTTCTAGTGTGGTTGGTAGGACTAAGATTAGAGTGCAGAAGGAAGTAGTCTATTCGCAGTAGAAGGTTACAGCTCTGGTGAGACTGCACTAAAGGCACACACTTGGTGCTTGAGGTAAATGCTAACAACAGCTTGAAGCGTTGATCAGATTGACAATGCGTAAGCAAACACCCTATGCTAGACATGCTAATGCTAAGTAGGGTGCTAAACAAAAGTGTCAGGGTCGAGCAGGTTTGTAATAAAGCTTAAGATGTAACTGTATATTTGCAGGTAGTCATTGGGTGAGTAATTGGACAAATAGAGAAAATGGAGTCGTGCTAGATAAGAGTATTAGGATCACGCGAGAGAACTGGCTTGTGATCAATGCAGTCCTGAAGGGAAGTATTAGAATGATCTCATAATTACTTTTACTCGAACCCACAATCTGTGAACGGGCGGGAACATTAGTCACCTGAGGGGATTGCAGATTGTACTGGGGCGTCAGTGGGTGACTGTCTGATGGGTA